GATTTTTCTACAGTCATATTCACGTATGCACAAATACCCTTGAGAAAGGTATGAATCCACCTTTTCTTCGCTAAGTAGTTAAGTAGTTAGACTTGTATCGCTAAAAAAATTATCATCTCCATCCCACCAAAAAAATCTTATAACCTAACATATTTTCTCGTTTTAAATACCTGCAAAATATTTGTTTGGATGTTGGGAGTGTTCCCGCGTGTGTGTATTCAAATAAGGACAAACACATATGTAGGGAAAAATACTGGTATATTTGAAGAGGTATTTAACAACAGAGGGATTAGTAATAACGAACACAGGTTAGTAATAACAATTAGCAAGAGTCTACAGTCCAACGGTAACTTCCGGTCGAGAGACGGAAGTGCAATGGTCACCTGACCTCGCTGGTCTCCTTAACTTCCCTGATCTCTCTAGCACTGACCTATATCGTAGAGAGATCAGTCCATTCTCTTGAGAAGGTGGGTGCGCCCCAACAATACTGATGAGCCGTATAATACGGACCAATCATTTAATCAATAATAATAATAATAATAATAATAATAATAATAATAATAATAAAATGGTTAATAAACCGTAAAACAAAAACAAATCAATCAATCAATGTATGTATTCGTGATATTTTCTAAGTTTAGCATAAAGGAAATAAGGCCAACATAGAATAAAGATTTTATACATCACAGTTGCACGTGAAAATACTGAACCGACCTTAAATACCAACATACAAAAAAAAAAAACTCTTTTCGGGGATCGAACACTAGACTTCAGTACCAGTTAGAAACAACACAGGACAGGTCTAGATTTACTAAATTTTGCTTAGTCCAACCTAGGGCTAATTATCACTGTTTTAGTTCTGTGTCGGATTAAGTTAAATTTCTTCCTACTGACGAAGGAATCCTTCCACCAGTGTACAGTATTGCTAGATCATCTGTTTAAGCAAAGCGCTTATATGGCTGTGTGCTCATAAGAACTCATAATCTTTTAATGTCAATGTTAGTGTATATTCCAATGTATCTGTATATGTATGGCCATGTGCGTGATCTTCGATTTTCTGATAAGTTTATTTCTAAGAATAGATGTAGTATTGGATATTCAGCACGAATCACTCCTTTGATTTAAATTGAAAAAAAATTTTAATAAAAAAAAAAATTATTCAAAATAATCTGTCACAAATTGGCGTTAACTACAGACTAAATTGGCAAGCAAAGAACCTGTGTTAGTTTATATTTACATCCAAACACGAAAGACCTGTCACTTGGCTATGATAGTTGGATATTTCCAGTCCGCGTTTGTTTTCAATTATTGATATCTTATTTGTAGTTATGCCAATAAACTTGTGTTGTGATTGAACGGTAATTTAGCAGAAGAGCTCGGGGTGCAGGCGTAAGAAAGAGCCGATGACAAAAAGAGTTGGAGCCCGATGAGTATCAGTAACCTAATCGGTTAGGGTGCTGTCTTTGAGGGATGAGATTCCGAAGTATGGGATGCCAGATCGCGTGCAGGCCGAAACCAGGTAAATATTCTGCGTCTCTGTAGATTAATTCTAGATAGAAACTGGAATAGCCAGTAGTATAACAAAATTAAAAGAAACAAACACTCTGTGTGTGTGTGTGTGTGTGTGTGTGTGTGTGTGTGTGTGTGTGTGTGTGAGTGAGTGAGTGAGTGACAGAGAGAGAGAGAGATTGAGTTAGTGAGTGAGTGACACAGAGAGAGAGAGAGAGAGAGAGAGAGAGAGAGAGAGAGAGAGCTTTTTTTTCTTAAAAACACGCTTCTGTATAACTTCCTCTATGGAGAAAGACACCTTATTCAATGTTGGCTGCTTCGGTTTAGAACAAAAGCATCTGCAATATGTAAAGGGTGCGATTAGTAAATTGTCGCTACTTAAAACATATAATTTCGCGCATGCGCGTTACTTGTTTCATATATATATATATATATATATATATATATATATATATATATATAATTTATATATACATAAATAGATTCATGAAATTATATATATATATTACGTATATACACTTAAATAACTGTGCTTATTAAAGACAAACAAATGCTTTCCAAAATATACTACCTAATGCTTCTGGAATATACTCTCTTCTCGATAAAGGAAAATGGCAGCATCTGTTGAATTTCCCACCATTAGAATAAATAGGTCAAATAAAGAAATTACTTCGAACTGAACGAATAAACAACTCCTTCCAGTTCAACTGAACGTATTCTTGAAACTTTCTCTATTTTTTACTTATTTGTCGAAAGCATTTAGATGCTTCAATATCGGAAACTCTAATTCTGGAGACTAACACTTATAAGGATAGCTTCCATTAAAGCTCTGTTTCTAGGGGCGAACTATGGCTAAATTCGTTTCTTCCTATCAGTTAAGTGAAACTCATTTTTCAATTTGCTAAGAGATAATTTTCAGCAAACACTACCACTAGTATCACGAGATAATCGACGATGCTTTAATAAAACGCGACTGATATAGCGAGTGATATGTTTTGAAGCAAAAACGAACAAAATTAAAATCACTTGAGTGCTTATTTTGGGATCTAATATTCCTTCAGAGCCCTCCACAGCTTTCTTTGCTTTGTTACCTATAAATTCCCATGACGTTTTGGGAAAGATAGTGGAGTGGTTTCTTGTTGCTTCTCTGCGGCTTTAAACTCGAATAGGTAATTATAGAGTGGTTACCACCCAAAGCTAGAGAGCCTAGTCTGCCCTTCTATTTAACCAAAGGACAGGAGAGCTAAGAGATAGATTCATGCTTTTCCTCAATGGCGTTAAAGTGAAGTGAATGCTTCAGACGTTGCCGGAATTTGGATAAATTAATGTGAAATTAAACAAGCGGAAATCAATAAAAATAGCAATATAAACGGGCATGGTTGCGCAGAGGGCATTCTAAAAATGAAACGAAACTTAAAGAAACCAGAATAAAATATGTTAGCGCAATTTAAAATAAAGATAACAGTAGATAAGTAGTTATAAAACAGAAAGTATATTCTGTACCATCTCAAATTGAATCCAACAGATATATAAGAAGGATTACAAAAATATACATGCTTGGGTAAGAACGGCGATCCGATGGGTATAGGGCAAACGATCAGAGATATGTTATAAACACAAACATGAATAAGGAACTGATTTTTAAAAGAAAATTATGGAATATGGACTGTAAACATATACGCCCAATAGAGAGAGCTGATCAATTTGTGTAAGAATGGAAGATATGCGAATTTGTAGATATAGCCGCTCTAGTGAAATCGAAAACGTGAAAGCTGTTTCGTCACAACCCTACAAAATATGGCGTGATAGCTAATTGTGGATATCTAATATATAAATACAAACGGGGGGATGCAAAAGTAGGTATACACTAACTATTATACCAGTATTACCAGTATTATTATAGGGGTTCTAGGATATATATAATAATAGAATTCATTTACTTCATTAAAATTATTTTTAATATTTTTATTTTCATAACTTTTATTATAATACATTTATTGTAATTTTTATTTTTAAATAAATACTAATAAATGTTTCGCAGGTAAAGAGGAGTGTGTGAATGATGGGAAAACAGTTTGAACATTTGAGGGATTGATCTGTTGATTATTGATATGTTTATTATTGATACGTTATCGTTGATATGCTTGTATAATCAATACATCGTTTTGTTATTCATTATTTTATACATACTTTTGCATCCCTACTGTATATATAACGTGTTATATACCATGTACCTATGAACAGTAATGGCTAAGTCCCAATCCTCATAAATACGTTGGACACTATTGTAAATGGGGGTAGCATGATGTCTAAGTAGTCTACCACTAGCGGTTGTTTACCTAATTGACGTTGCTGGCGAATATTGTATTTTGTTGATGTTAGAAATATTAGCATTTCATTTCCAACTTCCGCTTTGGTTATTTTTCATCGAGTAACCCTTTAATGTTTATAAAATTTTTGCGAAAAGAAGGGAATGAGATACTAATTCTGTACAAAGTAAATCTAAAAAGCGGGGTGTTATATACCGTAGGTGTGAACACTATTGGGTATGTCTCAATCCTCATAAATACGTTGGAAATTATTGTAACTGGGGTTAATATGGTGTCTCAGTAGTCCACTACTAGCAGTGGTTTACCTATTTCACGCCGCTGGCGAGTATTGTATTTTGTTGATGTTATAAAGATTACCATTTCATTTCCAACCTCCGTTTTGGTTATTCCTCATTCAGTAACCCTCTCTAGGTTACAGCATAATGTATTCGTCCTCAAATATGAGCCATCCTGCTGTCGTCTTAAATTCTTTTGGACAAAATTGCCCAGCTGTTTTGACGTTAGGCGTCTTTTTTCTTTGTGCCTTTTTTTTTTTCTTATGGTGAAGTCCACCCTGTATAAGACCCAAGAACAACTCAAGGTAGAGGATTACAGAGTAAGTGGTAGAGTTTATGGGTATATATTGGGAAAGTAACGGTTGACACTAAACTTAGCTTAAAATTGTATTGATCGGAGAAGCATCCTTTTGGTATTTTATGGATAAAACTGTATTATCAACAACACACTTATGAATATCTCTCTTGAGTTTTTTACGCAGAACATGATTCTGTTGATAGTCTCTTTCACCACTGTACACTCAGGGATCACCTATCTAGAGCTAGTTTTTCTTAGTATTATGGCATGATGTTGACATTCTTCAATGCGTTCTTGATGCATTGTTGATTAATTAATTTGTTTCTTACGGATTATCAACCTTTTTCAGGTTATTTAAAATTAGAAAATATTTTCTGATCGTAAGAATTTTTTGGTGACAATAATGATTTTTACTGATGCAAGTTCTATTAATTGACACATAGATGGGGGAGAAAAAGTGGAGTCATACTTTTCCCAAGTTTATTTGAGCCTAAGTGAATAGAATCAACCTGGCTGAAATTTGAACTAGGATCTCTGATTAACAATTCCAAAGGGTCATCCATTACACCAGACGCACACCGAAGCTTATAGTACTTGGTATTCCCAAGCGGTCACCCATCCAGGTTCTGACCAGGCTCGATGTTGCTTAACTTCCGTAATCGTATTGGGACAGCTGTTTCAACGTCATATGGCCGTAAGCCATTCTTGATGCAATATTTATAATTTGAAATACACACACACACACACACACACACACACACACACACACACACACACACACACACACACACCCACCTACCTGTATCCCAAATCTGCGACGTGTTGTTCCAGCAAATTGTGGAATAAATTTGAAAGAGAATAGAAACTCGACATATAACAGGCTTTTGTTAGGAATATAAGCAAAATATAAAACATGTTACTGGGCATTTGCAATGATCTTAATAAAAAGAAACCTTGAAGAAATGTAAAATATTCATATTATTTCAATGTTAATAATCTTGAAATCAGTAAGAATGTTGAAAAGAGTTCGAGAATATTGCAATTTCTATTTGATCTTCGACAAGAAACGCCAAATACTATTGGAATAAACACTGGATGACGACAGAACACCCTTTTATGAATACGCGTAAATCTTAAATTTTTCGTGTATCTCCACATTACATCAGTGGAACAAAACAGCTCGCAGTATTAAAACGCATTTAATATATTATACATATATAATGGAATCTACAGCATAAGTGCTTAATTTAATGTTGTGACCATGTGTAAATGATTAAGTACACCAGAAGAGTATTACACGACTAGTCAGAGTGTAGCGAATGAACTAACACTCAATCCAATCATTCTTCCCTGTTCTTTCTCTCCTACTAATCTTATAGTAGGCGGAAGAGTCCAACATAGACTCTTAGAGGGAGGACACCACAACATTTAATATACATAATAATTTTTAGAAGCATATATACTCAGAACTCGGTATAACGGACTTCATTGTAATGGATATTGGAAACAACGGACAAAATCCGCAGCAGCCGATACAGTTTGTAAGTTCTACGGTTTATGGACAGAGTTGTGTTAACACTGGATACACACCGTTGCTTCGTGGGCTTATCGCTAGTTAGCGGACGTCACTTTATTTTCATCAGTGCAACCATACGTGCAGCTTATTGCTTCATGGCTTTTACCATTTTTTATATTCCAGTGGGTTTAAGTGGTCTTGAGGAAGATAAGTAAGCGGGAAATGGTTAATTTAACAGTAACATAAAACAGTGTATATTTATAGTGTATATATATTTTAGTGTGAGATTTGATAGTATGCTTGTACAGTACTATATTATTCCTCTTCCTTTCGTAAGGTAATTGTTGATATTTGCCACTCTAGACGTAGCTACGTTAACTAGACGTTAACTATGGAGAATCGGCATTTATCAGACGATCAGCAGGATTTATTTTTAATTGAAATTGAAAATATTTCCGTTGAATTATTATTTTTAAATTCATCGTCTTTGTATAGAAAGAATTTATATTTACTTTTTCAAAATTTAGTTGTCAGAAAATGTACAGTATTCTTAATAGTAAGCATTGTTATCGCCTGCTATTTCACATTACTAAAAAATTATTAGAATGGAGCCAAAGAAGTTGTAGAGTTATCTAAATAAGTCAAATTAGATTTTCTTAAAACTGTACTGAATTATTTAAAAAAAGCTAAAAAATAATAAGTCTGTTGAATTAATTTTTATTATTATTAATATAAATATTTAAAAAAAATTGTTTAAATGTTTCTCTCACGATGAGCACTGGGAAAAATATGTCGGCAGTAAGGAATTTAAGTGAAATTAGCATAATAAGAACTTTAGAAAATAGATGTCTTATTGAAAATGTTTTTTTTATATATATATACATTTTATTGAGAACATCTTTTTCTGTTCGTAGGAAGAGTATTTGGTTGGTCTTTGAAAATTATTTCATTGGTAATTTAAAATTAAATATTTGTTTTGTAAAAAATTTATTTGGTTGGTAAATGAAAAAAAAAGAAGAGAAAAACAGAAACAAAAACAAAAAAAAACGAAAAACAAGTTAGGACGAAACAACCTGAAAAATAAGAATTAATGTCAAGACTGACAAATTTTGAATTATCTCAACAGCGAAGAGGCCATACTGAACGATGTAGAGATTTGAATACAGTTCTCACGATATCAATGTGTGGTTGGCGAGATTTGATGTCACTCAATCCCTAACGGTAGCTACCAGAATCCTTTGGTATCAATATAGCAATAACGTGGCAAATTTTAGCAAAAATCCTGTTGTAAAATGATCTCTGCTTCGTGAAACAGCGACATCGTTTTTGTTTAATTTGCTTCCTCAGGGACAAAGAGAATTTCTTTCCCCTTTCATCCCGTCAGGTTTATGTATCCTTCTCCCACACGTTTAGCGCCCAAATAAAACATGAGCTTAGTTCTTTTCTCTCTGTCTCTGTCTCTCTCTCTGTCTCTGTCGCTCTCTCTCTCTCTCTCTCTTTGGCGTTTGGCCAGGTCGTACAGAAATATCTCGTTTGCGGAATTAAAAAAAGTAAAAAAAAAGAACACCAACAGATAACAGAATAAAAGAGGATTCCCTTTGCGGTGGGTCGCAAATGAAGTGGACATGAATCATTTATACGCAGGTTGCATTATGCGTCCCGCCAGACAACACTCACACCACAGACCTTTCCTAGTTCCAATGAATCAAGCCCTCAGCACATTACCTTCCTTTCTCTATTCTGCTTCTCTCCCACTGAAAGCCAACGGGAACAGTTTCTTTAATGATAATTAGTATGATGAACTTTCGTTTCTGGGCGAAATGCATAATACTGAGAACTGACTGACTTGATGAGCGACAAATGCTTTAGAATCAAGTCTAATGAATTAGAAAACATATATATATATATATATATATATATAGTGATTTTCCAAGCGTAGCTTATATGTGGCACAAGGCTGAAATTAAGGGGTACCCAGTGAAGATCGAACTCACTACTCAATCGTAATTGTTCTAGCGAGACAAGATTGCTAGCCATTACACCGCCTCGTCGCGGTTCGGATTGCGGAATCGGAGCGTCGAGTTCGAATTTCAGTCGAATCCATTACATTCATTTATGTGCTAATACCCTTGAGAAAGGTATGAATCCTCTTGTTCTCCCCCCCCAGTTATGGGTAAAAAGCTTAACAGACCGGGTTCTATAGCCTTGGATGGTAACTGGTCTACCACAGAAAGAAATGGCAACCTGCCGTGGGAAAAATCTGCCTCGTCAGACATCTATCGAAAGATACATGATCACCTAAGCGTGTATCACACATGTCACATAACTAATTCCTTGTATATATGCTGAGTTCGAATTCTAGTCGAAGATTCATGACCACCTAAGTGTGTATCATGCATGTCACATAGCTGATTGATTATATACAAGTTGTTTTGGATAGATGGCTGACTGTTGAAAAAAAGATTACGATAGTGGCGGATAATTACTTTTTTTTTTTTTTTACAGTGAGGTTCAGTCTGTACAATTCCACTTGAGTTAGAGCGTTACAGTGTAAGAGACACAGTTATATGCGAGGAAGATAACAGTTAACATTGCACTTAAACGGGTTAAGATTGTAGTGATCGGGAAAACATCCTCTTGAAAACCGGTTTCAGAGAGCAGTGTTTCGTGGACAGTAGCTGCTTGAGTGGAACTTATTTCTCACCAATGGAATAGATAATGTCCGTGGTTTGCTACTATGGAAATGGGATGGCGTGTTCTTGCTGTGAAGGTTTGACACACCGGGACCAGGAATATAGTTTGTCCGAGCCCCTTCCAAGGAAATAGTGGTAGCGAAGCGAGAGGCTTGCCACATCCAACCTGTGGGAGTGGAGTTGAAGGATGGAGAATAATTAGTCACCCACAGGGGCTTAGAAATGCTCTTGAACTCTATCAAGTCTGGAGAGTGATGTTTGGGCATCTCCTGCTCAAATATGGCAACAGTACTGCATTATTGGCCTGATCTGACTCTTGTAAATGAAGCGGATTAGCAGGAGTTAGGTACTTATTGGAGAGATACAGAGAGATTACCATTTTACTGGCATCCTTAACAAGGGATCGTATGCACGAGTTCCACTTGAGGTCGGGTGTGAGTTTTGAGGCCCCACTTAAAACTAATATTCAATATGATACGCCCACAAAGATGGGGGATCTCAACAGTTATATGGTAGAATATTGAGACAAATCCTATAAGAATCTCATTTCTTAAATGTCCACTAAATGTGATTTTTTTTTTACAGTAAGGTTCACACATTACAAGGCGCTTGGACCACACGAGGTAGAGGGTTATATTAGGAGATGATCTGTATCTATAGGAGTGGAAGATAACAGTTAACCATATAGCCTTGAACAGGTTAAGATTTTAGTGATCGAGAAAACATCCTGTTGGGAATTGGTTGCACAGGGCAGTGGTTTGTAGGAAGAAGCTGCTTAAGTGGAACTTATTTCTCACCAATGGAATATGGAGGGAATGTGGGTGGCTTGCTGCTATGTGCGTAGCATGGCGGGTCCTAGTCCTGAAGGTTAGAGCTGGTATAACTAAGGAATGTATTTCGTCCGAGCACTTTCAATGGAAGTATCTATAGAGCATTGAGGGTTTTGCCACATCTTGTCTGCGAAGGGTGGAATATAATTTGTCACCGACAAGAACGCGCAGATATTTTCGGACTCTATCGAAACTGGAAAGTGAGGACTTGGCAGTTTCTGCCTAAATATCACAGCAGTACTCCATTTTAGGCCTGATCTGGCTCTTGTAAAAATAGAGGATAGCACGAGATGCCAGGAGAGGACGAAGTGGACCCGTACACACAACCACTACATCTTTAGCGATGGTTTGTATGTACGAGTTACATTTGAGGTCTGCTTTGAATTTGAGGTTCAGTAGTTGCTTAAGGCACGGGGCCTGCCTGAGGAACAGTCATTCATCGTTCAGACTCCGATATATATATATATATATATATATATATATATATATATATATATATATATATATATATATATATATTTCCGCCTCTCTATATATACTTTTAAAATTAGGAGATCTCTACATTGGATTCAACCTTACGGTATCCTCAGGCGGTTTTCATAAATTGACCACCCAAAACTTTATTTTTTTAAAAATAAATCGTCGGGAGGTAAATTATTATTTTAATTATAACGGTTGCTTTCCGTGAAAACGTTATTCTCCAGAAATACATTTTCAACATTTGCGAAGGGGAAGGGAGTGACAAGCAATCTTTTTTATATATATATTTAACACATTGGTTTTTCTTACATATCTCAAAAAATAACAGGTCAATTTCAACGAAACGTATAGGAAATATTTAAACGAACATTGTCGATCAAAACATAGAACGATAATTTAAAACCACTGTTTTGAGAAACATTTATTAACAAGAAATAAAATAACCCATATGCAAAAGTATTTAACACACTTTACTAATATTTAGTACAGTAGCCTCTATTCTGCTTCACAGCCTCCAGTCGTTTCCCGTAGTCTTCAACTAGTTTCTTGCAGGTACTTGTTGATATTTTGACCCATTCTTCTTCACAAATTTTCTTCAATTTGTTTAAATTCGATTGATTTCTTTTATGAACTCGTAACTTCAATAGATTCCACAAATTTTCGATTGGATTTAAATCCGGTGACTGACTTAGCCATTCCAGGACATTAATGTCATAATTATTAAACCAATTCTTAGTTGTTTTAACAGTATGCTTCAGGTCATTGTCTTGCTGAAACACAAAATCACGACCATGTCCCAAAGATGTGGCACTGTTCAAGAGTTGAGTTGACAAAATTTGAGTGTATTTTGCAGCATTCATTGTTCTTTCTATGATTTTCATTTTTCCTACTCCATTTGAGGAAAAACAATCCCACATCATAATATTTCCACCTCCATGTTTGACTGTAGAGATGGTATTTGCTGGCTCGTATTCCGCTCCTTTTCTCCTCCATACATGAGTGCGCATGTTTCGTCTGTAAAGCTCAATTTTTGTTTCGTCTGACCAAATTACTTTCTACCAGAAATCATTAGATTCAATTTCATATTTCTTTACAAAATTCAAACGGGTTTGTACATGTCGGCTTTTCAGTAATGGAGTCTTTCTCGGTGATCTTGAAGTGAGACCTTGCACGATTCAGTGATCTTTTAATTGTATTTTTACTAACTTCAATTTCGGCATTTTTCAAATCATTTTGAATTTCTCGACGAGTTGAAAATGGATTTTTCTTCACAGTACGGGAAATTTATCGCTCATAAGCTTCATTTAAGATACAGGGACGACCACTCTTTTGAATGTTTTCAATAGTATCGGATTTTTTTCATTTTCGAACAACAGCACCAACTGTACTCACAAGCAAATTCAAATCTTGAGCGATTTTTCTATATCCCTTACCATTTTTGTGATTTTTTTATGATCTTCTTACGCATGTCGTTCGACAATTCTTTTGTTTTCACTATTTTCTTGCAGTAGTGGCAACAGAATAGCTGCAGTGTCTCAGAGCTGTTATCTAATAGCCAGTTGAGTGTCGTGCAGTGCTGTCATTGGTCGACTTATCACATCATATCAATATGGGTAGGAATCATGACGACACGTCTCTTCTAGCATAATATTTGCATTGGTGTTAAATACTTTTGCATATGGGTTATTTTATTTATTGTTAAAACAGTGGTTTTAAATTTTCCTTCTATGTTTTGATCGACAATGCTCGTTTAAAAGTTTAGTTGAAATTGATCTGTTATTTTTGAGATATGTAAGAAAAACCAATGCGTTAAATACTTTTGCTATCCACTGTATATATATATATATATATATATATATATATATATATATATATATATATATATATATATATATATAGCATCCGAGACGAAAAATATAATGCGAATCGAAATATGTTCTTTTGAAATGTGTTATTTATAAGGGATACAAATTTTTGGATCGTGCAGTCGCAACGCTAAGGTTGATTTTTTTTGAAAATTTACAAATATGGCAATATATATTATCTCTATCTATAAAAGGAAGGATGTGTGTGTGTGACGAAAATGCACCGACGTAATTTTCGACGGATTTGCACCAAAATTTATATGCACATGCTCTTGCATTTCCCAACTCCCATCGATAGTGGAAATAATCGATTTTTTCATGCTTCTAAGGACGTTTTCATGTAGTTTGCGGCCATTTTGTACTGACCAGAGTGAGAGCCAATAGCTGGCTGCCACGAATAAGCAGGAAGATTCTACTGGCCAGCGTGAGAGCCAACAGCTGACTGACACGAATGTTAACTAGCATGCTAGCATGCAAAAAAACAAAAACAAAACAATTGATTCGTCACAAGTGGGTAAAATTTAAATCTGCATGGCACTTTACTCCAATTGGCTCATTCGCTTGCTTAAACTCAACGTTGATTCTGATTCCGCAGAATTGGGTTGGTGTGAAAAAGTATTTGTTGTTAACATTCTTTTTTCATTCGGTTTTTCCAGTTACGAGTCCTTTTTAAAAGCTGATCATTTTGTGTTCATTTTGTTTAGTTCTTTTTTCGTAACAGATGTAATGTTTAGTATAGAGCTTAGAAAAAATTCGCTGTGTGAGATAGGCAAGAAGTAAGGCATGTAGCAACATCAGCACAGCAAAGGACACTCCTTTAAAGGCAAGGAAGGGCAAAAATATCAAGTGATAGCGATTGCTGTATGAGTCGTACGATTTTTGAATCAAGCACGGGCAACGCCGGGCCATGCTGTAGTTAGGATATAGTTTTTGTATTGATTGCCATAAGGAATACATAGGAAAAAATTGGAAGAATTTAAATAGAAATATTTTATGAACCCAATGAGAGATTTTACGCAACACATTCAATGCATTAGGTGTTCCTCGTAAATTAGTTTGACCATAATTCCGACTTAACAAAATACTTTAATTAAAAGAAGTAGCAATTTACTAAAACGAAAGTATAGATAAAGTGATTTAATCTTGAGCGTAGATTATCCACAGTAAATTTACGTCCAGTTTTTTACTGCTTTTCACCTTTCTTGGCAGTTCTACCATTTTACATTTAATAACAAAAGTGAAAAAGACTCAAACAAATGCAAAAAAATTTAAGTAAACGAAAAAGGCTAGATCATATACGCAAACAAATTAAAAAAAAAAAAATAAAAGTTCAAAATTTCAGCGTCCGCTCACTTTCGAGGTTATGAATAATTCCATCTACGGAAATATTACTTTCGTCCGATGTAATCCTAAAGAACGAAAAGCGTCACATGAAAAACAATTTGGATTTGTCATTTATTTTCCTCACCGTGCTCTGGGATAAAAAAAAATGATATATTAATTGATTCTTTCTTTCTTTCTTTCTTTCTTTCTTTCTTTCTTTCGTTTTTATTTCTTAGTCGAACTTCACTTTCCTCTACTTTTCTTTCTTTCTTTCTTTCTTTCTTTCTTTCTTTCTTTCTTTCGTTTTTATTTCTTAGTCGAACTTCACTTTCCTCTACTTTTCTTTCTTTCTTTCTATCTTTCTTTCTTTCTTTCTTTCTTTCTTTCGTTTTTATTTCTTAGTCGAACTTCACTTTCCTCTACTTTTCTTTCTTTCTTTCGTTTTTATTTCTTAGTCGAACTTCACTTTCTCTCTACTTTTCTTTCTTTCTTTCTATCTTTCTTTCTTTCTTTTCTTTCTTTCGTTTTTATTTCTTAGTCGAACTTCACTTTCCTCTACTTTTCTTTTTCTTTCTTTCTTTCTTTCTTTTTCTTTCTTTCTTTTCTTTTTCTTAGTCGAACTTCACTTTCCTCTACTTTTCTTTCTTTCTTTCTTTCTTTCTTTTTTTCTTTCTTTCTTTCGTTTTTATTTCTTAGTCGAACTTCACTTTCCTCTACTTTTCTTTCTTTCTTTCTCCCTTTCTTTCTCCCTTTCTTTCTTTCTTTCTTTCTTTCTTTCTTTCTTTCTTTCTTTCTCGTTTCTATTTTACCTTGAACATCTCTACTGATTCACTTTCCTGTACTCTATTTTTCTTTCTCTCGTTTTCTTTTCTCAGTTGAACATCTTTGTTGACTTCACTTTCTTTCTTTCTTTCTTTCTTTCTTTCTTTCTTTCTTTCTTTCTTTCCGCACACACACACACATATAGATTTACATTGGCACGTGATAATATTCATATATAGCCAATATACATAAATATTTATTATATATATATATATATATATATATATATATATATATATATATATATATATATATATATATATATATATTGTACATATTGATGTGTTTGAATGGAACGCCACCCAAACCATAGGCACAAATGCAGATTTAGTTTGAGAAATTTTTACTCGTATATGCGCTTGGAACTTACGCTTAAAACTGAGCCTTTTGCCTTATTACGTTCTTGTGGGCTTACGAATAAATCCTATATTCATCTGCAAATATTTATGAAGAAAACATCTGTTTAGATAGAATAGATGCTTGCTCAAATTTTGAAGAAGTCGACTACAAAATTTATTCCGTTTTTTTTTTTTGTTTTATTCTCGACATATTTCTTTAGGGTTATTACAAATTGATGCACAAAGAATGACGATAAATATTTGATCAACTTTCTGTTTGTCTTATTAATACCCACTGTGCGACTGCCCACTTGATTTTGCACTTTCGGTTTAATATTTATTTCGATCACTGCAACTTTCTCTTAACAGGAAGAACTTCAATTCTCTGGAAGCCTACAAAAACTCTGTTACTCACCGAGAAAAATGCCAAGGAAGGATAGAATCATGAACATTATTTACATTATTCGGACTATTGTCCTCATTTTTGTTGCCATATTTATCACAACGTTTCGGCTGTTGTACGCTCCAGCCTTCGTCAGGTGGTTGTAATGTCGAACCGAACCCTTTATTTTCTTCGCTGGGGTACACTTGTCTAGTTCCACGTGCCATGTCTAATGGATGTCAGTTATCAGTTATCTCCTGTTAATTCACCTCTCCAAGTTCTCCAGTAGATAAAGGGGTTGGATAGATCCAGTGACAGGACAGGACCCAAAGAGTTGTGAGTTCAATACCTGGTTAAAGCATTTATTTTATAATAACGTTTACATCACCTTATATACATTTAAGAGAAGCAGAGTACTATATGCATTTTTCGGATACAACAATACATATATTTTCGTTGTCCTCTTATTACTGAGAGAAAAAAACAAGAACAACATCTATTCCATACCTGAAGATGTCTGTAGGAACAGACGAAAGCTTGTAGTAAAAATAAGAATTAATGCAGCAGAAATTTATAGAAACAAGGATCTTTTCTTTCATAACAGGTTCGGAGGTTTTTGTATATTATTTGAATTGTTTGCGACGATGGATTTCTCGCCAATTAAATCATTAACCTTTGCATTTGTTTTTGTATGAATAATTCATGAATATATATATATATATATATATATATGTAGTGGAAATCAACACATGGCCGAGTAAGTCTATCAGTGTCACTCAGACTTTCTTAAGTTTTCGCACAGTTTACATATCACTTCGTCGTTGATGACATCTCAAATGGCCTTTATGACTTACAAGGGTCCCACAGTTCTTCCCACGTTGCTGACTAGTCAGTCTTCTTGTTACAGCTTGCCTTTCTGTATGCTGACTGTGGAAATATCGTGTGAGTCCACTGGCTGATCGACACAATTTATGATAGATTGTACATCTATGATCATCGGGGATCGATCACATGTAAGACTCCTTCGATCCTCGTTCTGGGAGTTGCCTCAATGCCTCTCATATATCTGCCTGCACGTTTTTTGTGCATATTCTATCCAGCTGTTCTCAAAATTCTTGTCATCAATATTTGCAGCTCGTCTGATGGCCATCGACGGCTTCCAGCGGTACTATCTACCAGTGTCACTCACAGGGATTAGGTAAAACTGTGGTAGGGTCTTCAGACACTTTCCAAAGGTACCGCACGCTATGTTCCCCCCCACCTCCACACCAATAACATCATGAAGTCTCCTTCCTGACAAATCGACCATGTACACAACACATATATACTAAGCACACATAACAGGGTTGATCAGTTCTTCTTCATTGTTCATCGCGGGAACTTTTTCTAATTTGTTCTGGTAATCGTTTCTATTTAAGTAAATGATGACAGACATCAAGCTAACTCAGCAAATGAAAAGGTACGTTATAATATAAAAGTCTATGCATGGCGATTTAGAGATTGGTCGCTTCCTGTAAGTTGTGAGGCCGTTTGTTGTCAAAGTTCGCAAATAGATGAAATCCCCGACGGGGATTCTCCAGAAGTAGCCCAACGTAAAGCGCCTTGTAAGGGTCCAAATACTACCAGGACTCGTAAGTCTGTACGAAAGGTGCAGAAAATTATTGATACGCAGTCTAGGAAGTAAAATAAGGCCATTGTTTAGGAGCTCAAGGTTTCAGGACACTCTGTAGGAAGAATTGTGCATTTGGAGTTTTTGATACAAAGATGTGATAATATGATACAGAGTGGTCAATTCGTGACAAAATACATAAAGTGTTTGTTGAGCTAGGTGAAATATCAAGGTTCTGAAATGCATTCCTTTTTTTTCTCTGATGAGAAAAAACTTTGATCAGGATGAAAAGGTCAACCGAAGAAATGACAGATAGTTATGCACTGACCCCAAGAACGTTTCAAAGGTCCCGCAAACAAAGACTTCATCAGATAAAAAAAAACAAAAAAAAACGATGAAAGTGATATTTTATACCTCCTCACTTATTTCTTCAGGGGTTAAGAGTCAATGCTGCTGGCTATAAAGAGGTTTTGAAGATGGTTGTGAGAGCTTGGATGGAGAGAATGGTCAAAGGAAAACTTTACACCTACCAACAAGACTCTTCTATCTCATAAAGCCAATTGACACAAGATTTGATATAGCCTCCTAGCCCTTCAGGCCAGAAATTGTTGAACAACTATGTATAGGACATAGCTGAGAAAAGTTGTGTAAATTGAAAAATCAAGAGCCCAAATGAGAAAAACTTTGATCAGTATCAAAAGGTCAACGAAAGGAATGACAGATGGTTATGTAAAGACTCCAAAGAGGTTCCAGAGATCATAAACAAAGAGTTTCTGGAAACTGATGGTTTCGAGAGTCGGGAGCAGCGAGCGACATGACAGGCCTCCTCACTTCTTTCCGCAGGGTTTAAGGGTTAATGCTGCTGACTAAGGATGTGTCGGAGAGGGTTATGAGGCAAACAATCGTGAGCGTAAGTAAAGGAATACAGTACACCTACCAATAAAACTCTACGTTGTCTCAGAATGATAAGATGACCCGAGTTACAATCTTTTCGATCACGTCACCCCAAACATATGGTCTCCTACCTCACCAGACCTGAATCCACTGGACTAATACGTATGTGGCGTCGAGAAGCCAGTCAATGCCTCTTTAAGACTAAAAAGTCTCTGAATCTTGCTATAAATCGCGTAATATCCAAAATAGATAAAGATGATCTGATTCAGTTAACGTTTCAGATCTCGTATCGAAGCAGTCATCAGTGTTAATGGCGGGATTCATTAAATAGACGTGACAAGAAGAATCTCAAGATAATGTTCATTCCAAATGTTTCTCAAATATAACTTATTTAATCACTTGTACGTCTTTTAATAAATTCATGCAAATGTTCTCAAAGAACTGTGCGCTCATGTACATAAATACAAACAAATTGAAACAAAACAAGGAATGTAAAAATTGAAAAAAAAATATAAAAACTGAAGCGAAAGATATATACGTGACGTTTGCACAACCAATGAAAACAAAATAAAAAAAACAACAAAAAAAAAAAACATAACAGCACATTATTTGAGTTACTTAAAGTTTCTGATGAAGCTAAGTTAAAACATGGTCAATTTGCAAAACATTTCAAACTTGAACCTTTTTTATCAATTCTGCCGAATTTAACCGATATGATTTTCTCTCTTTCACACACACACACACACACACACACACACACACACATATATATATATATATATATATATATATATATATATATATATATAAAAAAAAAGAAAGAATAATTCGACATACTATAAAGGGATTCTAATACATTTAATTGTTCTTAAAAATATAGTATAATAAAATTAATTGTTCTTAAAAAATATAGTATAATAAAAATTAAAAATGAAAATATTTCAAATCGCAATTAAATAAAACATATTCTAACCTAAACACCCCCAAAAATCTTTAAATTTACAAACGGAAAAAAAATGCCGTGAGAATTTTTTGCCGTTAACAATAAATTTAAAAAAAAAATCCAGACGACATGCATTCAACGGATGTCAGATTTCATTGAAAAATACATCCCTACCCTTTACCAACACGTAACTAAAAAACGAATACAATAATACAGACATAATGAACACCCAGCCACCCCTTGTCCAGTTGAAGTAGATTTATCTGTAATCTTGGAAACGTGAATTAGGATTTTAGCTGTGCCTTTAAAACCCAGTAATTTTAAAAGTTACTCCAAAATTCGCTTGAGGATGAAATGGAACTAATGTCTAATTACAAAATTAAATTCGTAGCTTTTAGCTTCCATTTTTGAGATATGGTTAGAACTGTGTAGCGAAAAAAACATATTTAAAATAAATCAATTTATAATATATATATATATATATATATATATATATATAACAGATCTATGCGTGAAAAACTGTCATCCCTCTAAACATCTTGTTTTGTTTCCCGGCCAATGTTGAGGTCGATCCGGAAGGATATTCTACCTATCCATCTTAGTAGTTGGGTAATTTACCAATTAAGATGTCAGTGCGATGCTGACTATGTAAGCTGAAAGGGTAAAAGGCTGAAAGCATGGAGCAACCAACGCTCACAAGTAAATATTAGCAGGGACAAAGTGGGGGATTTCCATAGATTCGTGAATACAACAGGTTGGACAATTGTTGAATATTTAATAAAAAAGAAATTGCTTCGCTTTTTCGTCTAGATATTTTTTTAAGTAAAACCAAGGATAAT